ATAATAATAATAATAATAATAATAATAATAATAATAATAATAATAATCCCCCATGGGGTGCCGCCTTGGCATGGCGGGGGGCTTAACTGTTCCAATGAAGCTGAGAGCTGTGCTGGCGGTAGTGCAAACTACCAGCAGGTCCAACCATGTCAGAGAGGTCTAGGCCGAGGAGCAGAACTGAGTGCACCCAACAACCCATGCAATGAATCATGGTGAAACACAACCGAACAAAGCCTATACCAACTTGGTCATCACCTGGGTTAAAAAGGGCCACGTCTGGTGTTTGGGAACCTGCGCATCCATTGACAAGTGGGCTACAGGCCACGGGTCCCATAGCTGAGCAACCAGGGCATGGGCTTGCAGGGCTACTGGAAGCTGAACAACCTCAGAAGCCGCAGAAATACACCATGTCAGAGAACTGCACTGTAATGATATGCTACTACAAAGCAGAACCAGAAAAACGAGGCTATCAAAAAAGGATGTACAAGTTATGGAAACAAGAATACCCAGACTCAAGGATAACTGAATTACAATTAGCTGATCAACGATGATTCATCACTCGGAACAAAGTGCTCAGTGAAGTTGAACTTGAAGAAATACAGAAAAATTGTGAAACGGGAACACAGACTGCTGAACAGAAGACTGCTGAAGTTGCAGCAGAAAATACTCCAATAACATCTGAAGCAACTGAACAGCCTGAATTCGAAGAAAATACAAATATTTTGCAAAAACAGGATCAGCAAGAGCCTGAAGTCATCATTGAAACACCAGGAGTGCTCAATGCCAGGCAGCAAGAACTGAAAGCTAAAATTTTGGCACATGCTGCAACAAATGCAGAAAGAAGAAGGCTCCCAGCATTGAATACTGTGCCTAGAAAATATTTGGCGCCATTGATGATAGATGTGAACTATGCACTTGCAGCAGTCCAGATAACATCAATTGAACAAACAAATCAGCCTACAGTACAGCAGTCATAGTAACAAAAGAACTGGGGATTCAACAGCTGCAGCCCCCTAGAAAATCAACTGGAAAACCTCAGTGGAAAATCAGGTTGGAGTTGAAAATCAAGAGCCTGCGAGCAGATGCAAGCAACTTGAAGCATTTGCAGAAGAAAAAGCTGAAGAACAGCAAGATCAAGAAACATCTGATAAAAAAATATGGGCTCAGCACAAGAAAAAATGATGAAGCATTGGAAATTGTGAAGCAGCAGATAACAGCAACAGCAAGAAAAATGGAAAGATACAAAGCCAAAATCATCCAGTACAAACAAAATCAATTGTTCCAATCAGA